ACAATGGGGTGCAGAGCCTTCAGTCGCTCTGCCCCCAAACTCTGGAACGCACTACCACCTGACATTCGTAATATTGACTCTCTTTCCATATTTATCACCCAGCTCAAAACCCACCTATTCAGACTTGCCTATCCACCTTAAATCTTTTTATTTTTATTTTTTACTTTTTTTACTTTTATTTTAAATTTTATCTGTAGTTTTATTATTTGCTCTTGGTTGTACAGTGTCCTTGAGTGCTATGAAAGGCGCTTGCAAATGTAATCTATTATTATTATTATTATTATAACAGCATGAATAGACACTGATCAGGGAGTCAACCGCGTGACAAAACACAAGGGAAGGTGCTTGACGGGGATGCGAAGATGCGCAGCCAATTAGCTCACAGGATAACCCACTCGTACTGTCATTGGTCTACATTGCGCCGGGAACCAATCATGCATACAGCCATGTAAAAAACCTCAGAGTCATTCGGCAAACAGTACAGTACTTTAGAAAAAAAAAAATGCGGTGTAGTGAAGCCACAATAAATGACAAGTGAGATAGCGAGGGATCACTGTAATCACATGCTTGTTAATCCAATAGCTCGTTGGTTAAAAAAAAAATCTCTCTCTCTCTCTCTCTCTCTCTCTCTCTCTCTCTCTTTATATATACAGTATATATATTAAATACATGAAATATGTGTCATTAAATTCTAGTTTGGGACTCTGTCCTTTGTCGGGTCATCTTCTTGTTCTCTGCTTATTTCTTCTACACGCAGCTTCCATGAATGAGTCCTTACGCGATTAATTGTGAACCGCAATATTTCTTGAAATCAGTCCTTTATATACCTAAAAATGGAAAAAAGCTTTTTGTCTGCACAGGGCCGTAAGTTTATTCTCAAGTGTTTGGTGTAATTACTTTCAAATGACAGTAAGGTTATTATTTTGTTAGTTTTGGGAAGAAAAATATTGTACAATATCATATGGATCACATCATAAAATAATCTTACTTGCATAGGCAGGCTGGCAGCCATACCGAAGTGTGGCATTGACGGTAGGCTGTAGCTGCAGGACAGAACAGAGTCGGACCTCCCCAACACAGAGCCTGATGTGAAGGACACTAAAATACAAATTATCAAAGTTTAGAAATCGGGGGCAGGGTAAACAGTAACATTGTGCATAACCATCCATCCATTTTCCGAACCACTTATCCTTAATAGATTTGCTGGAGTACTGGGGCCTGTTCCAGCAGTCTGAACTGGTCGCCAGCCAACATCAGGGTACATATAGTGTAGGCAAACAACCATTCACAATCTCAGTCATACCTTTGGACAATTTCATCCTTCCATCCATTTTCTGAGCATCTTATCCTCACAAGGGATGTTGGGGGGGGGGGCATGCTGGAGCCTATCACAGCTGTCTTCGGGCAGCAGACGGGGTACACGCTGAACTGTGTGCCAGGCAAT